ACGGGTTCCATAACATTTCAGCCAATCAACGAACGAGTTCTGTGGATCTTCCGGTCTTGTAACCAAATCTGAATGTGATTTCGAGATCTGATTTATTCGTTAAGACCGACCCTAAGACCGACCCTGTGACCAGAGGAGACTTCCGGAGCGACGGTGGGGGGTCGCTAGTGCACACAGACTTGCGGGACAGGAGTGGTTCTCTAGGAAGAGCCAATATGGTGTGGTCTCTGGGAAGAGAGGTAAAGAAGAAGAGTGACAGAGGAGGGGAAGAGGGGTGGGCACAGCACACCACTTCCGCAGCCCTGATGACGCAGAACCGACCTGACTAGGCGGTGACACTGACACAGTCTGTGCTGGCGTGCTGACGTGGTACAGCACTGGCACGCTACCGGGGAATCTCCCCGGCGGGCGTGAGACGACAATCAACCATCTGGGCGGTTGAGTGTATTGTATGTGGTACGCGGGCATGTGCATACAGTGACATACGGGTGCGCGCGGACCGCACGGAAAGATCCGCAGAGCAAGCGGAGGAACACTTGGACAGGGGACCTCGAGTAGGACGTACGTACAGCTACACCAGAGACTCACATCACCCCCCACTCGTACTCCACCAAAACTCGACAGCGAGGTGTTCTGGTTCGCTGACAATGCGTTTGCCGGTCGCCCCGGTGGTCTAGTTGGTATCCTCGAAACCTTCTAGAGGTCAGGTCAGGGGTCCGAATCCCGGCGTAAGCGAGCTTTTCTTGCAAAGTGAGTTTTTTTCTCGCTTCCGCTCCTGGCCTAGTGGATAGCGCTAGTTCGTGTGTACACAGAGGGAAGAGAGTGCTGAACTCTTCTCGCAATAAAAATCGAAGACAAAGTACCGCAGGAGGGGGGGGTAGAGAGGGGCTGTTCTGTGTGAGCACGGGTTGGAGTAAATGGCACTAGTGCTGTGAGCGCTGATTTGAAGTGAAGACAAAAAAAGAAAGAAAAAAAAAATCAAATGTCGAAACATTGATGTGTGACCAAAAATGCCGGAGGGAACAGACGAGCCGAGAACGGGACATGTACCGATTGGACGAAACACGGGGCTGATTTGAAGTGAAGACAAAAAAAGAAAGAAAAAAAAAATCAAATGTCGAAACATTGATGTGTGACCAAAAATGCCGGAGGGAACAGACGAGCCGAGAACGGGACATGTACCGATTGGACGAAACACGGGTAGTGCTTTGTCAGACAAGTAATATCGCAGGATCGACAAGGAGGGATTATAGTGGAGTGATGGAAAGTACCGAGTTTTTCACAAAACATTATTAATGCTTTGTGGCCTGCAGGGCTGACGACTCGTACAAGACAAAAAGAAAAATGGTCGCGACGTGTACTATGACCCGTGGGTATGGAATCATAGTGGAAAGATCCTGAGAGACAAAACATGTGCAGGGCAACGTTGGCGTACCGTGGCCAGACGAGATATGGCACGCGACAGGGCACATGAGTCCACCGAAGTGAGACATAGACAGCATGGTAACATTCTTACGGAGTATTTCTTTTTTCTTTTTTTTTCTTACTATGACACAATAAATCCATCTCTATCTACAGAAAAAAGTCTAAGATAGATTAGCAATAAATCCATAGCGTCAGCGAAGGGTTATCTGTGTGTCTACGATTTCCCGAACAGCACACAGCGACATCTCCCCTGTGGGTAACAGGCTCAACAAGGCAGTTTGGTAGCCATCTTTTTTCGATTTTTCAAAATCGATCCATCGAACCTCTCGGTTCTCTCCCTGCTGAAAAGACTCCACCACATCCCGTTCGACTGCTGTGGGTATATCTCTAATGGGTAGTCTTTCCGTGCGTGTATTTATTTTCCCTTAATTCTCTTCCTGCTGTGTGAAGACATTGTGACATTGTGAGTACAAGCGGGTTGTTTGATGTACACGCGTCCAACAAACCAGCACCATGCTGTTTGCTGCCTCCGTGCCTCCCCGCGGAGGCTACCGCGCTCTCCGACGGCAGTAAGAGTTGTGTCTGGGGACAATATTAAACAACCCAGGACCGATGCGGATGACATGAAGCCTTGATTGGTGCACACCGTGCTCCTTCCAGCACACAGGGAAAACAATTGACGGATATTATTTTGAAGTATCATACAGCAGTAGTAAACACACATGCGTGTTCTCTCTCTCGAGGGACCCCGCACTTGGAACCCCAACAGCATACCCCCCCCACACACACATACTCTCCAGATCGGATCTTGTATCCAAGTACCCCAAACAACGTGCGTTGTACATGACATTGCATACTGTACACGGATGCCAGGTCAACACACCGCGAGCTGGGCGGGCCGACACTATTTATTTTTTTTTAACACACTTGAACACCTCTTTTTGAGAAGGTGACTGCGCGTTCATATCAATGATGTTGGGGGGGGGCGTACTCTTATCTTTTGCATGCCTTAGCGGTTAGACCATTGACCACGCGTCCTCGAGAGGACGGGGCATTGTTCCCACAGGACCGATCACCGATGGCCAATCGTTCCTTCCTACTTTGCCAAAGGTGGCTCAAAAATGTCTTCAATAGTCTATCTATCCTAACGATACCCCTTCCCGCCTTTTCAAACCGCTTCCTTTTCCCCCGTACAGCTACCGTCCTCTCCTCTCTATTCCATGCCTCAAACATCTCCCTGTACGTCCCTTGTATTGTTCCCAGCTCAGTCATGTACACTTTCCTCTCTTGTTCGTACAACTGACATTCCGCGACTACATGAACACGGTCTTCGCACTCGAAGCCGCAATCACATTTGAACTTGTTTTCGTCGTCTACCGTCCTATGTTTTGGTGGACGTTCTGGAAGGCCTATGTCCCCGGTCCGGAATTTGCCCTTAAGCTTTGTCCCCGCATCCATTTGTCCATGTAGGTAATCCTTGAACCCTATTCCTTCTTTCAACATTCCGTACACTTCTAGACCCTCCTTATGTGGGGGGGGGGGGGGCGTACTCTTATGCTTTGCATGCCTTAGCGGTTAGACCATTGACCACGCGTCCTCGAGAGGACGGAGCATTGTTCCCACAGGACCGATCACCGATGGCCAATCGTTCCTTCCTACTTTGCCAAAGGTGGCTCAAAAATGTCTTCCCTAGTCTGTCTATCCTACCGATGTCACTTCCCGCCTTTTCAAACCACTTCCTACGCCCCAGTACCGCTACCGTCCTCTCCTCTCTATTCCATGCCTCAAACATCTCCCTGTACGTCCCTTGTATTCTTCCCAGCTCAGTCATGTACACTTCCCTCTCCTTTTCGTACCACGGACATTCCGCGACTACATGAACACTGTCTTCGCATTCGAAGCCGCAATGACATTTGAACTTGTCGTCTTCGTCGTCTACCGTCCTATGTCTTCGTCGACGTTCGCGAAGGCCTATGTCCCCGGTCCTGAATTTGACCTTAAGCTTTGTCCCTGCATCCATTGGTCCATGTAGGTAATCCTTGAACCCTATTCCTTCTTTCAACATTCCGTACACTTCTAGACCCTCCTTATCCTTGGATTCTTTCCTTAGATTCTGTTCTTCTCTGTCGGCACAAGCAACAGATATCTTCTTCTTGAACCCCTGTAGACCCTCCGTTTCCAGCGTTTCATCTTCGTCGATGTCCAATCCCTTCCATACGTCCTCTACAACCTTGACCCATTCCGTGGGTTGTCTACCCCTCTTTTTGTTTGCCCACTTCGCCTCCCATACTATTCTCGGCAACCTCTCCTCTCCCATCCCGGGGGGGGGGGGGCATGCCAAATCACAGCGTTATCGAACGCGATCCCACGAATTCCGAAAAGGAGGATTGGCTTAGAAACACGCTCAGGCGTGCGTTCACCATTAGGGGCACTATGAGACAGGCTTTTGTTCTCCAGGTTCTGCGCTACTGGCTCATGTGTGTATGTGTGTGGGGTACACACCAGACTCAACCTCTGATGGTCGACAACAGAGGTTTTTCGAGGGACGGTACGGGAAGGGACGAACGCTTACAGTAGTACCAGTAAAGGCAGGCGGAGGTAGAGGTAGAAGAGAGGGTTGAGGAAGTTAGAGTGGGAGCGAGCGGCAGCTGGGCCGCCGGGCATCACCCCGAAGGTACTGGTAGAGATCTCCGACACACGTCATCTGACACATCGCAGCAATCTACGGAGATCTACGAGACATTCTGAGGTGACATTCACATGGATAAACAGATACAGTAAAAGACATTTATGCGCTTGCAACGTATCTACAAGCACGCGTTGTAAATCCGCTTTCCGTTGAGCGGAATTTCTCTCCCGGGCTCCCACGGCGCTGCATTTTCCTGGAACTCTCTGGAGGTCTGACAGAGCACTTGTTATTCGCTTCTCAGCTGTGTGTGACAGCAGTCGTGACACGGCGAGCGTACGCAGCGCGCAATTGTGGCGGTGAGCCCCGTTCCTCTCCCATTTCAACCCTCTCAATTGCTTTGAGCGGTGGGTTCGAGGGGTCTACGTTGAGCCGAGAAATACTCAGCTTTCTCGGAGGCCTATTGCGTGTCCGGGGCGTTGTCTAGGATACAACAAAGGTGATTGAGAGTCTCATCTCCCCCCCCCCCCCCCCCTGCCTCTCTCGCTATATGGATCAACCTGTACCTTCTTTGCTTGTCGGATGGCACGATGACACGAAAAGGTGGGCGTAGGACCCGCCCTCTCGCTCTCCGCCCCGAACCATTTTGCAAAACAAATTGCTACCTCCCACGAACGTCGAAAACTGCTCCTTATCACGCCGGCACATCTTGGAATCGACCTATCGAGCGGGGCGGCGAAAGCCACCAAACACCATGTACTCCTACAACCTGTACACACCTCTTGGATCTGTTCTCATGTGATGCATTTTTCCATCTGTGCCTGTAATAGCACCCCCTTGTCCTCACCACGCCCCACCCTACTGCACACTCGAATTTTGTTGAAAGGTGATTGCCGAGGATGGCTTCACCGTCTACTGGACCGTGGACACGGCCGCTGAGGAGGTCACCATGCAGGTATGCATGTAGGCGATCAAATACTGCTGGCTGTACTGTAGTATGTACGACGAACGGCCTGTGACCACCAGCGAATCTCCTCTGTCCGTGTGTTTGCTATAAATAAGATATTTCGGTACTAGAGAGAGAGAGGGAGGGAGAGAGAGGGAGAGGGAGAGAGAGAGAAGACAGGGAGAGAGACACAAACACCTGTGTACAGACTTGGCCACGCCACTACACTGGTAGCTTACAGGAGCAAGAAACAAACGACACTTCAATCGGTCCTCGTCAACAACAACAGTCCAAGTCGACCAACCCAACTTCCACACACCCGCCCAACCAACTGATGAAAGAAACATGCGTAAAACAAAGTCGCCCTGGCGTATTTGTCCTTGACACCGCAGGTGGTTTACGACGGGGAGGGCTTTGTCGGCCTAGGGTTTTCGAGCAACGGTGCCATGGTCCCCGCTGACGCCGTCGTAGGACTGCCGGATGAAGGCACCGCCTTGGAGTACGACCTCTCCACCTATGTGAGCACATGACGACCCAGCGGGGGGGGGGGAGGGGGGGGGA